TTACCATTAACACCATCCTGCAGATGACTCTCCTCTGAGAGAACGTGCTAGAATTTCAAAAGGGAACATCCTATTCACAGGGTAGAGGGCTCGGGAGCCCAGGTCTGGGAGTCAGGCAGCCCTGAGCTTAAATTCCGGGGGACTGGAAGAGTCAGTGACCATGTGTGACCTTCAGGTTTCTCATCTGGAACACAGAGATACGTGTTCCTTAAAGCCGTGATTTAACCTTGGCTGTGCATTCAAATCACATGGGGAGCTTTTGAAAAGCTGGAATCCCAAACCCTATCACGACTAATTACCTCAGAAGCCTGGGTGCTGGAGACTTAACCTTGCTCCTCATCCCCAGAGGTTTCTGTCATCGTTCTGGAGGCCAGAAGTCCTACCCAAAGGTGAGGCTCTAGGGAAGAATCCTTCCTGGCCTCTTCCCGCTTCTGGTGGCTCTAGGAGTTCCCTGGTTTATGGCTACATAACTCCATTCACTGCCTCTGGCTTCATGTGGCCTCCTCTCTGAGTCTTCTCCATTTCTGTTTCTTACAAGCACACTTGTCATTAGATTTAGGGTCCTCCCCTTAATCTAGGATGATCTCATCTCAAGAGCCTCAGTTTCATTACATCTGCAAAGACCTTTTTTTCCAAGTAAGATCACGTCCATAGGTACTGGGGGTGAGGACTAGAACATACCTTTTTGGAGGTGACCATGTAACCCACTACAGAGAACTTTTCACTGTGTTTTCTGATTGCACTGGGTTGGGATCCAGCAAGGGTTTTAAGATGTATAATCTCTCGGTCACACAGGTAAAATTTCATATCCTTTTAAAATGGGCCAAATCCTGAAACCAAAGCATGGGAAGGCCCAGGGGATTTGTAGCATCAGAGATGAATGTGGAAGTTTATAAACTTTTTTTTAAAAAAGGGAAACCTGGAAATGAAAAATTTTTAAATGAAACAATCCAGTTATTTTATAAAGAGTGGTATAAGTGATATAACAGTTTGACCAAAATATTATAACAGCTGTAGAAACACAAACAAGAAATTTTAAAGATAAAAAGGTTGTTTAAAAAAAAGGCAATGAATGTGTAAACGAGCAATTTAGATGTTTCTGTTCAC